TGGGTTGCAGCCAGCATGTAAAGTGGCCACCACGCACCCTTTCAGACACTGACGAATACTTGTCAGTTACGCACACAGTCTAAGGATGCAAGTACTTATTAGCACTCAGCCATCAAAACATGTTCGATCAGTCAGATTAGTCATGGGCATCAAATTTTTAGTCACATGGACTAAACTTAACGTTCCAGCAACAAAAATTTTTGTCACAGCAAATAAAATGTTGATGGATTTGACCAAACCGGACGGATCAAACAAAATTTGATCGTAGCGTCAAAATTTTGATGGCTGCGACGAAACAATTTTTCAGTGTACAACATTTAAAATGTTTTAACGCTTCGAACCGTCTGATCATCTGCTAAAAACTTCTTCAACTTCAACGAGGGTTTTAATGATTGCTTGTTCATAGCGAACTGGAGCCACCCATTTCTCGGGTAGTCCCCACTGATTTTCTGAAAACTTGAACGTATAGGAGCCACAATATTACAACGTATTATGGACACAAAGCGTGAAGCGCAAGGGAATGTCCCTAACATTGTACTGTCACGGCGCGGTGCGACTGCGCGGCCGGACGTCAAGGCAGCGGCGGGGAAGGCAGAGCGTGCTGCGTCCATCGAGAGTGCGCGCGCAACGGCTCCACTCCTGCAGGAGCGCGCTCCCTCAGGAAAAATGCAGAATTCTTTCTCCTCTGTTAGTAGCGCCGATCGTGTGCGCTCATTGCCTCCTGGATTTGCATCACTCCCTAGAGGCGTGGTGTGGAGCGGCGTGGCGACGACGTGTCTTCGTGTGTCGTAACTCAAGCTGAGCGAACGAACGGGAGGCAAAGGAAGAATTTAGCAGACACGTTGACGAATGTGTGTGCCGGCGGCCGGGTGGTACGGTCAGAAGAGGCAACTAAGTTATGCGCAATGCACGCGTCACCACATTGTGCATGGATTTCTTTACCTTTCTGTTCAGGTAAATTGAGGCAAACAGAGCAGCATTGAAGTGTCTCGAGAAACAACTCGCGAATATGCGAATTGCGAATATGCTCTTACCAAAGCTGCTTCGTTTCGTTATGAATTCCAACACCACCCAGAAAACGGTGCTCTTGATTTCAGTACAAGTCGAATACAGTTAAGAACCCGTACTCAAAATTTGTTCCTTGGAACTTGAAACCAAGTATATATATATATTTACCTGGATACCACACCAGACATGCGACCAATTTAGTGCAATAATTTTTTATGGCATGAAAGGCATTAACTTTTAATCTATTTTTAATTTATTATCGCAGCAAAGTGTGTAAAAATTATCGCATTTCTAGCGCGGTAATTTTTTCATTATTAGCCCAGGTGCAATGAAACGTGTGAATCGTACTTTGGTCATTATTGCATCGATTTGTATGAAATTAATCGCACTTGGAATGACAGTGGTGTAGCCATACCTTCGCTCGGAATGCGCGAAGGCTCGCTATTGCTCTGGAAACTCAAGTGTCGTACAGCATGACAGATTTTACTGCAGTACCAATGGTACTGCAGTTATATCTGTGATACTGATGTATTATTTACCACTGTTATTAGTGTAGGACAGTTCGAGTGCTACAGTTCTTTCTGTAGGACACCCCTATCCGACAAGAAGCCGGTCAAAATGCCACACTTTGTACTGTCGGGCATATGGTGTCCTACATTTACAACTGCAGTACACATGTGTGGAGTATCACATATTTCATTACCCTGTAGAACTGCAGTTACACTGTGATTTTGTTCACCTTGCTGTAGGGCAGGTTACGTAGTCTGCAGAGTAGAGTTAGAAAGGGATCGTCTAGAATGTAACAACCGTTTTATTCGGCAAATTAAGCTAGCTCGGCGCCTGCGAGTTTAGCCCGTAAAGCCAGCTAAAACACCTTGTGCAACATGTTTATGGCCTAAGGCGTTCCTCGCCTGATTTTTCAAAATTCAGCTTAAATTAGATGGGAAGATGCTCGCTTTCCCAAACGGGTTAAATTGTGACGGGGCGTGGTGTGAAGACGTTGCAATCTAAGCCCATAATAACTAATGCTTACGCTTTTTCAGCGAAAACGTAATATTGGTATAATTCGACAGAGGCGGAAATTCTCTTTCGAATGATACCACTATTAGGTTTTCGGTGAAAAAGTGACTTCAGCGGTTATCCGTTGCGCCAAGCCAGGTCAGCGGTTGTCCGCAGCCGCCGAGGCGATGAGCGGTTTTCCATAGCGGGTATCGATATGTTACTTCACAGGTTCATAATGAAGACTGACGGGTGTACTTTCTGGATGATCGACACTCCTTGAAATTCATGAAATTTCGAGAAAAACGTCGCACCTTGTGGGAAGGTCAAATCAAATCCTGCGAATAAAATAATGTTTTACGACCTCGAGTGCGTTACGCCATTGACTTTGTTTGCCTGAGTCGATCGGTCCCTCCTGGCCATCCTCGGAAGGGCGGAGCGGCAGCCTCGGCCGCAGCCTCGGCGGCAGCTTCCAGCCCAGTCACTTGCGAGTGGCTGCAGAGACACGTCGAGTTGCAACCATCCATCTTGTATTGATTGACAGCGGAGAAAAGGAGCAAAGAAGGCAAAGGGAAAAAGAGACGAAAAAAGGGAGAGAGAAGGGGGCGTAAGAAGGAGAGAGGAGGGAGTGAGAAGAGTAGTGAGTGGTGGTGGCGGCGGTGCTGCATTGTTCTCGCCAACACATATATTTGCAAGCGGACAGCCGCCCCGCACCAGCATGGTGCAGCACTGACACGGCAGCCGCCTCTGCGAAGCCTCTGGAGACTGTCGGGCTGGTGACTGTGGCGTCAGGACGGGCGGCGAGCGTGACCCGAGGCATTCTGGTGGTCGCGCTGTTTTAGCCCTTCTTCGCAAATTGCATAACGTTAAGAAGGGGGAATTTACACCACATGTAATTTGATCCATGCAGAAGGGGGTGTCAATTGTAAAAATCACATAGATGAAATCTGTCACTGACGTCTATCGTCGGCACAAAAATGTTTTGTTTGGACTGAAGTGACAAACTTCGATAAATGTTGTGTTTAAGGAGAACACCACTCTTGATAAATCACGCAATTTTCTCTCTTTGTCGCTCTCAAAGGTTGTCTGTGACAACCGGCGTAAACGCGAGTGCCTAATGTAATGCGCCCTTACATGATTTCTCTTAATTTTGCCTCTTTTTTTTCCAGTGACAACCGGATACAAGATCGCACCCACTTTTTCTCGGCTCTCTGGGAACATCACGGAAACTTACTGGACCATGCACACAATATGCCTGCTCTTATAAGCTCAGGTTTGTCTTGATAAACGTCTAATTTTATTTAGTTAAGTTTCGTCAAAAATTGCGGCTTTAGAAAGCATTTGTAGCTGGTGGCGCACGGCGGCGTCTAACAGCACTAGACAAAGTTCAAGTAGAACTCGGGATTACACGCACGACGCGCAACTGTTCCTGGAAGCGCGCGCACACATAGCAATAAGCTCGAGTATCAATTAATTATTTCTCTAGAATAATTATTGCACCAGGAAAAAAGAAACCACGTCGCAATAAAATAAAGTAAATGTCGAGGTCCCCCCTCCCCCTCCCCCCGCCAGGGTTCTGTCCAGCGCCTGCTCCCACCACTGAGAAGCTCATTAGAAAATTCTCTTTAGGCCACAGTTAGACAAGGAAATAGGCATTCGTTATTTATGCCAGTAAGTGATATATCAGGAAATGATATTCATGTTTGGTGCATCGTTGTCAAGTTGTAAAACCTCACGAGTGTAGAAATCTACCCTTGTTTATTGTTTTTTCTGCCGAAATATCATTGCAGAATATAATTTCCCCTTTTCTTATAATTGGGGTTGATCTTCCGATCTATGATAGAACTCATAAAAGTTGTGCTTTCAAAATTGGTAGTGACTTACCACCCGTTTGTTTTAACTGTAGAGCGCGACACGGAGCTGCATCTGCAAACTCTACGCGGCATCGATAGATCGATAAACAACACGTTACGTCGATTATCGCTCAGTGATCGCAATCAGCGCCATGACCATCGCACGAAGATGCGGCGCCAACGTCGCCGGCGCTACCAACATTAAAGTAGACAGACGACCATGACTATTCTGCGCCTTTTCATAAGAGAACAGACAACAAATAATGACAAACTCATGAACTATACCGCCGTATGGACAAAAAAATCCGGTTACCATTCGCTTAGTTCTGAGGAATCATATCAACCTCAGTACTCTTTAGATTAAAAGATTTTAATAATTCAATGAACAATAGGAAAATGTACTCTAGTTGTTAAAAGGCTATTCGGCACGAAAAATAAGTTTTTTCTCCGCCGCTAGAAGCAGTAGCACGGTAAAGATAATGCCTGACATTTTGAAGAAGGCGGAAAACTTTGAGGTACTCCAAAGATTTTGAGGAAAGGTATGATCAGCTTTCGAGGCGCAGCTTTAAAGTTTCGCGAAATATGTGTATTAGCAAACGGTTGAATATTGTTGAATATAAGATATATTTTTGAATGGGCGAATATTGTTGAATATGCGCGAATATGAATGATGTCTAACCAATTACCGCAAGCTTGTATACTGAATATTCAAAGTTGTTAATCCCTCGCACTTCTGTGCGAAATCAGGCACAAACTCGTAAAATGCTGGATGACGAATTTCTCTGAGCTATCAGAAGCCTTTTTTCGCGGTTAGTCGAGCTGTTTCCCTTTACTGTTTTTAGGCGTATCTCGCGGTTTGTAAAGCGGCAGCTGTCTCTATTGGTGGTAGGAAGTGCTGCGGGATAGAAATGGAGCCGATTGATGCCGTGAAGCAGCTGCCGATGAGATAACACGACGCGTTCACGTGACCCTGTCCTTTTTCTTCGTTTCCCTCACGCTTGGGCCGGTCTCGCAGTGCGCCCTGACTCACAAGTAGGCACACTGTTGAACCGATACGAGTTCCTGAAAGGAAAGGTTGGACAGTACCAAGTCCAACCTCTCTGTTTAAAAATAGGCGAGAAAGCGCTAGAAATAAAATTTCTTAAATATCATATTTTCCTCAAAAGCTACTAGATTTGCATACGCCACGCAAGGAAGGTCAGTGCATACAGACAGACAAGCAGAACGATTTTTTGTCGGTTACACTGGAAACGCAAGTGTGTGAATGTCGCACACTTGCAGGTGTGTGAATATTTATTCGTACACTTAGGGGTTAGACGTGTGAATTTTCTAGGAAAAATTCACACGTTTACCCCCATAAGTGTACGAATAGATGTTCAAAAACCTGCAAGTGTGCGACATTCACACTCTTGCGTTTCCAGTGATGTGGAATAATAATGGACTTTTGACATAGCTCAGCCAACAAATTCGTTTCACTTAACACTCTTGTAAGTCTTGTCTCATGCAATGGGCTGGCTAGTGCTGCCATCACGTGGTCAGGAGACTAACTGACCGTCGGGGTCGGGGCGTTGGTTGTCCAGCCAGCGATGCGGTAGCCGACGAGGCTTGCGTTGCTTCTGGAAGGCGATGACCTTCACACTGCCGGGCCAGGCCGTCGCCTGCCTTGCTGGCGGCAGGCTCGGGTGCGAAATCTCTCCCCTCGGAACAGATGCACACGTCACACTTGGCCGGATACCCCTCTGCCACCACCTTACACACGCATCGCGGTCCTGCCGAAAACACCTCTCGAGCCTCGAGTAACTTTAAGTCGGCGCGACAGCTGCAACCTAACACCAACTTTGTCACCTCCGGCTGTGCGAGGGACTCGCCCCGCTCGCTTTGCCTGCCGTCCTGCGTCCGGAAACTCGATATTTAAACTGGACCAGCTCTACGACATGAGTCGTAATCTGCTTCCTTTAGAACGGCAGCAATATCGACGCCATATGGCACACTCACCGGAAACCAACTGCGGTGCGTTGTATGCTTTTTACTTTAATAAAAACCCCTGTTGTGTTTCTGTTTTACCCGTGTTTTAGTTTAAGTACCGTTTTAAGATCAAATTTACACGTTTACGACGGAAGTAATCTTGTCTGAAACCACAGAGGGATTATGATTTGCCTGGAAACAAGTTCATTGCCAAAAAATCAAGTTCACAGAAATCATTTACAATATATTAACATAGAGAGTGCGATTTTTTAAATATATTTTTTGAGGGGTGGGGAGTGAGTTGGTACCAGGTAGTATGACTAGAAGTGGACGCATCTCAGAGGCCTAGTAGGCACATCTAATAAAAAGGCGACAACTTTATCTGGCCAAAGACATAAAAATGACGTTCGAGCGGGAACGGCTTCAGGTCCCTGACTGGCTGTTTATCATTCCGGCTGCTGCATCTTCCTCAGTGGCTCCTGCCCTCGTGGACGAGCGAACTCCAAGGATTACCAGCGTACAGCAGGGCGCGCAGACTCTCTGGTCCACAAAAATGATGTCCCTCTTTCCTCCTTTCCTCTTTTCCTCATCCGCAGTATTTTCCTTGGCGGAAGACGGTCATCTCGTTATTACGATACGAGCTCAGTGGGTCTGTGCGGACAGACTCGCGTAGGCAGCAGCCTGCCTGCCGCCGAACGAATCGGGCTTAAAGTAAACTCTCTCTGGCTGCTTCGATGACATAAATACAGTTTACGATCAAACTGAATGAGATAGGAAGCCAACGTGATCCATCAGGGCGGACGGCCATCGTGGGCGCCAGGAGAGGCACACCGGCCAACCGTCGGTATTCACTCCAGATTAATTACTGCGTACCTTTATTTAGAAAAAATAAAACTACATTTATGTATGCTTATACTGTACCGGATGCAGGCGTGCGGACGGGTTGCCTACACGCACGTACAAGGCGCCCCGTGGTGATTAGGCACATTGCATTGCTATAGTTGCAATTTATTTAAATGAACATTTAACACTAAATTTTGTGGGTGCGACTGTGCGCTGCCACCCGTTCTCCTGTGTGTTTGCGCCCGCGCGCGCGTGCGTGTGCGTGTGTGTGTGTGTGTGTGTGTGTGACACTTCTCAAGCTTTGAAATCGATTGGAATGTGCAAAGCTGACTCATAAAACACTGGATTTTTCCGTTCTTTGTCTATAGTGCCGGCTTCGGGACGCCGCAACCGGTCCCAAAGACGAGGTGTGACATTAAAACAGCTTACCGGCACGCAACGAGTCGTGGCGCAGCAGCAATATCGAGACCCGTCCAGCGTCGAGTGGAGTGGAGAATGATTTGCGAGATCTCTTTGCTCGCTTTGATAAAGTCTGCGAAATTTCATCGCAACCCTGTTGACGTTTCCTCCCGTGCTTTCCGGGCTTCGTTTTTTAGTACGTTGCCGTCCACCCCTAGAACCAATGCATTTTTCCTCTCTTCCATCCAAAGTATTTTCAATTGTTTGAACTGCCTGCGGCATGAACAATGCCCTGTTACCGGCTGCGGACCGCGCGAGGGCACGGCATTCCCATGTGGAGGGGGCAGCCTGCTGTGGAATGAAAGTGAAAAGGTTGGCGGGATTTGTTTGTTTTAACGAGGAATCGCGCGGAATAACTCGAACTGGCAATTAAGGAGAGTAACCCAGACAAGAAGTCTTACAACGACACCACTACTCTAAAAACCAGTGACGGAAAGAAAAGCAGTAGTTTTAAAGGAGTGAGGTGCTATCAGCTGCCGGTATGGTATTGTGCAACTATTTCTGGGAGACACTTGGGTAGAATACAAAACACGACACCGGGCCGCAACTATGTCTTGCCCGTGCAGGGAGTGTTGATAAGGTGCAAACGACTGAAACTGGCAGACGGCAGGCATCGGTACGAAAGCTCGTCCTAGTTACGCGTGGCGCATTGACATATTGCACGACTCAGTTTAGCTATGCATGCCTTGGCAAAGAATTTGGCGATAAAGTTGTTTCTCTCGGCCGCCGCAGCTGTGCTTCTTCTGCAAGTCAAGTCTCCGTTCCCTTTTGCAGTGGACAGTGCAGTGGCCTGTGTAATCGCTCTGCACGAAAAACAAAACCGTCTTTCGCGAGCGAATTAAACATTTCTTAACAAGTTAAGCCTCTCGTTCGAGTCGCTTCCGGCTACTGTTGTCGAACGGATCTCTTAACGACTTCATTCAGCAGGACGCCGAGAGCGATGATGAGTCCAATTAAATTACACGAAGCCCCCTAAGACTCCCCCCACCCCTCCCACCGGCCCCTGCAGTTTACTGCGCCGTGGGGGCGCCTGGCGCCTGTAGCTCCTTCTTAATTGAAACGACGGGCTAAGCGTTGTTTAAGAGGTCACCAGCACGCCCCCCGAGTGCGGTGCGGTGCGGCGGGGCAAGGCGACCATAGCATCAAACTTGGCAGCCCCACTGATATTGTCAACACGATTGAACCCAATAACGTCAACAATTATTGTTAACGGCGAAACGAACGCAGTGTTAGGGAAAGTTAGTTGTAAGGTGTTATAGACAATTCTATAGATTTCTTGTTGAGTCTTTTGGCGTGGCGTCTTTGTGCATTATCGTCCCCAAGTTTTAAAACTGTACACTATTTTCCACGGGCAGGCGCGTGCGTAGCGGACTACTTGGAGTAAGGTGTTCATTGTTGGGCTGTTACCCAGACGGGCTCAAAATGCAACAGGTGGTGTTGAACCATGACGTTGCCCCGCCCCCCCCCCTCCCATGTCTGGTAGAAATGGGTTTGTTTAAAACCTGACTTCTTGGACCAAGTACATTGCACTTGACCCATGCTTTGGGTGTGCGTGAGTGACAAATGCGTAGGCTACTGTTCCTGCATTCGTATCGCTGGCTCGAGCAAACTATCGACTCGACATAGTAATGTGAAATGGCTGATTTTTCATTTCGGAACAAGAGAAGGTAGTAGAAGCATGGTGTGAAACAACCCCCGCTTCGATGTGTCCGCTCATGTCTCGTTACCTCGCCATTTCTCGCAGATTGCAACGATAAGTCTCTTCCTGTGTTCACACCTCGTTCTGCCACGCCTCGCCTGGGACCCTGCGACACGCCTAGCATCATAGGTTCCTTCTTCTGGCAAAACGCACTCGCACTCCTCTGCAGCCAGGTCCAATTTCTACTTATTGAATTTTGAAATGTCGCTCAAAATGCTCCAAAATAACAGTGGAGTCCATCTACTTGTCAAAATGCAAACGCCCCTCCAGCGTTGTGCCTTTGGGAGCTTTCTATCGTTACAATGATGCACTATAGTGCAATAGTGCGATGCAATAGTGGGCATCGAAACCAATTGCAGGTTTGGACACACCTCGGAATCGTTCTCGGAGCGCGTGGTCGTTCATCATATGGGGAAAACAATATATTGGCGAAACAATCCTCACTCCGCCCTTCGCTGGGCGGGGCCGGGGCGTTGCATCCCCAACCTCCTCCGCAGTAATTACGGCAGCATGTCGCGCAGGGCGTCTGGGTGTGGGCAGCACGGCCGGCCAGATTGATCGGGACCAAAGAAAACTAGGGCTTCCTTCACGCGCCGCGCCCCGTCACTCTGGAAACGCAAGTGTGTGAATGTCACGCACCTGTAGGTGTGTGAATATCCATTCGCACATTTTGAGGGATAAAAGTGTGAATTTTCTAGGAAATACAATTTTCTAGGAAAAATTCAGACGTTTCCTAAGTGTACGAAAAGATTTTCACACACCTGCAAGTGAGCGACACTCACACACTTGCAGGGTGGGTGATCCGCGCCGTGGTTTTTTCTGCTTATACTGTACCGGATTCATGCGTGCGGACGGGTTGCATACTCGCACGACATTGTTGTGTAACAGCCATGTATGTCGGTGCTTGCTTGCCCGTTCAGAGGAAACGTGGACGCGGGGTTCGAGGTTCGAGTGGTTGCATTTCTGTACCAGGTGTAACTGTGAATACGCAGCAGTGTTGTGGGATTGCATACTCAATATGGCAGCAGGGGCCATGGCCCCTTACACAGTTGTAAAGAGTAGGCAAACCCGCAACACTGCTTCGTACATGTAACGCATGGGATGGTCCCCTTTATGGCCAAAGTCCGCATCTCCACTGAGCCTGCGTCTTGTGCAGCGATACCAGGATAGGGGTAGGAATTAATACACAGAGAGAGAGGGGGGAAGGGGAGAGAGAGAGAGAGAAAGAGACTGAGAGCGTAGCGATGGGAGGGAGGATGGGGCGCAGAGAGATGTGCGAGGGTTAGCCGACGGCAAACACTACTTATGCGGATTGTAGCGAATCGGGTCGATCGGTAAACCGTGTGGAAACTAAGGCGGGTGAGGAAACCCAATTACGCTGCACCGGAAGTAACGCCGCCCGCCACCCCGGCTGTTTTCCATTCAATGAACTCGCCCTACGTTTCAGCCGCACCCCTCTGTGTAGTGAGCGAGAGATCTCGCAGCGTACAGAAAAGATTGGGTTTGGGGGTTAAAGTACCGGAAAAAGGCTGAGAATTAATATTTGAAGGAATCCCAATCTTAAATGCTGCAAAACGTAACCCCAATTTCCTCCTTTATCCTCCCCCCCCTCCTGAAACGAAACGAAATCAACGAAAAATAACGACCTAAGTTATAATCCTAAGTTATAATCCGGAAATACGTAGTGTGTTCGCTGGATCAGAAAGTAAGCATTCTAAATTTAGCAAATGGTTTGCTGCCCCAGCAAAACGTTTGCTAAAGCTACCAACGCTCAGTTCTGTTTCTGCAATCACTTTCGAATTTCACTTAGTCAAATGCCACCACAGACCAAGCTGGCAACTCAGTTTGGCGGAAGGCTCGGCCTGCTTGTTCTTTCCTTCACCGGTGTTTTGGCACTGTTTAGACGTCTGGCCCGTCGCTCGTGCTCTTTCATATTCAGCGACAAAAAATGCAAATTTCTATGACGTGGCGTCGCCCGGCGCTTCCGACCCTGCCCGGCTGGCTTGGGTCCGCTGATGGCATCGGATTACTTAATGTCGAATTATAAACCCTCGCTCCGGGCTGCATTTGTCGGGCTGTGTCGCTTGCCCGCTTGTC